ATATAACTTTGGTTTTTGTATCAAAATTACCTACGCATGTTTCAGCACATGCGTTGCAACATACCATGTGGGGGCTTCAACGTTGAACGGCCAACCCCGGGCGCCCCCCCTTGACCGCTTCACGCGGCCAGGGGGGCGCCTCGGGTCACCTTGCAGGAAGATGCAAGGGTTCCAACCTTGAACGCCCGCCCCGGGCGTCCCCCTTTGACCGCTCAACGCGGCCAGGGGGTCCTCGGGTCACCTTGCAGGAAGATTTGGAGGCTTCAACCTTGAACGCCCGCCCCGGGCGTCCCCCTTTGACCGCTCCACGCGGCCAGGGGGGCGCCTCGGGTCACCTTGCAGGAAGATTTGGAGGCTTCAACCTTGAACGCCCGCCCTGGGCGCCCCCCCTTGACCGCTTCACGCGGCTGAGGGGGCGCCTCGGGTCACCTTGCAGGAAGATGTGGAAGCTTCAACCTTGAACACCCGCCCCGGGCGCACCCCTTAACCGCTTCCGCGGCCGGGGGGGCGCCTCGGGTCACCTTGCAGGAGGATCCCGAATATTCATATGTTGTACTTCATAATTACATGATACATGGCAGCCCCAGACCTTTAGACAATTGAGACGCCTTTGGCCCCATGTGAGCGCCAGCGTGAATATGTATGGATATGTTCACTCATCGCACGGGCGGGTATTGGCATATCTCGCATGCGGGCGTCTCTTTGCACCGGGAACCTGGACTCCGCCACACACGGCCGTCGCCCTAACGAAGAAGAACAAGAAAGCCATCCCCACCCAATGCTTTCACGTACTGTTCGGGGGCCACGAGTTGAGGTAAACACCCATCATAATTGATTTTTCGACAAAAAGAAGCCTATAGCAAAAAGTGTGTGTGTGTGTGTGTGTTCACTCGCCGCTTGGTGGGGTGATGACCGTCTCTGGTGAAAGACAGAGGTTGCTGCTATTTCTGCGGCACTATTTCACATTGCTACGTATTTTTTCAGCTACACTTCCTCATGTTTGTTTTACTTGGTGTGGGAGACATTGTCGGGTGGGCAGACTCGCCCTTTGGCCTCTGAGCCGAAACCCTCCGGAGAAGGATTAGGAAACCCCAGCGCCCCTCGCTGTCCTAAGCGGCCCCTCTCGGATTACTCACTCGCCCCCTCATCCAAATCCGCAACTGCACGTCTTGCACTGCAGTCGGACGTGCGATGAGAAATGTGGACGCCACCGGCCCTGCCTACCGCAAGCCTCCGTCCAATATACACACATTACATACAGACAGACAGACAGACAGACAGACAGACAGACAGACATGCATATATGCATGCATGCATGCATGCATACATGCATACATGCATACATGCATACATGCATGCATACATACATGCATACATGCATACATGCAAACATGCAAACATGCATACATGCATACATGCATGCATGCATACATACATGCACATACTACATTATACTCTAATGCATTGCATTACATTGCATTGCAATACATCACATAGCAGTACATTATCTTACAGCGCATCGCATTACAATACAGCACATTACATGACATTACGTCACATTACAATACAACGCATTACGTCACATTACATTGCACTACGCTAAACCATACACACTGGCAAGATCATACCAACATGCATGCATACATAGATATGTACTAGAACCACGCGCGCGCTTCGCGCGCGCTTAGGTTCTGTCGAGTCACAGACCCAGGAATCGCTGCGAGAAGAAATTGGTGACGCGAAGCGTCTTGGGGGCGTCCTTGGACGTCTGGGGTCTCCTGGGGCCTCTTGAGGGGCCTCCTTGGGGCCTTCTTGGGCTCCATCTGGAAGCCAAGATGGATGCAACAAGAGGGTGCTTGGGCTCTCCGTGAGCTATCCTCTGGTTTTCATTCCCCTGGAGAGGAGAAGGAGGAGGAGGAGGAGGAGGAGAAGGAGGAGGAGGAAAAGGTAGTGGATGAGGAAGAGGAGGCCGACCAGAAAGCCAGTCCACAAGTTGGACAGGCTGTCTTGGACAGGCTGTCTTGGCAGTCCACAAGAGGAGGGAGGAGGAGGAAGGAGAGGAGATGTTGGGGCGCTCTTGGGGCCATCTTGGGCTCTCTTGGGGCTCGTCGGGGCCCTCGTGGGGCCACCTTGGGCTCCTCTCGGAGCTCCAAGAGGAGCCCACAGAGGGGCCCAACATCGGTCACGCGAGAGCTCTTTCGCGTGACCGATGTTGGGGCCCTCTTGGGGCCCTATTGGGCCTCCTTGGGCCCTCTTGGGGTCTCGACGGGGCCCTCGTGGGGCCATCTTGGGCTCCTCTCGGAGCACCAAGAGGAGCCCAAAGAGGGGGCCCAACATCGGTCACGCGAGAGCTCTTCCGCGTGACCGATGTTGGGGCCATCTTGGGGTTCCTTGGGCCTCCTTGGGCCCACGTGGGGCTCCCTCGGGGCCCTCGTGGGGCCATATTGGGCCCCTCTTGGAGCTCCAAGAGGAGCCCAAAGAGGGGCTCAACATCGGTCACGCGAGGGCTCTTCCGCGTGACCTGACTGGGGCTCTCTTGGGTCCCTCTTGGGCCTGCTTGGGTCCTCTTGGGGTCTCGTCGGGGCCCTTGTGGGGCCATCTTTGGCTCCTCTCGGAGCTCCAAGAGGAGCCCACAGAGGGGCCCAACATCAGTCACGCGAGAGCTCTTCCGCGTGACCGATGTTGGGGCTCTCTTGGGGCTCTCTTGGGTCCCTCTTGGGCCTCCTTGGGCCCACGTGGGGTTCCCTCGGGGCGCCCTCTTGGGCCCGTCTTGGGGCCCTCTTGGGCCATCTTGGGCGCCTCTTGGGCCGTCTTGGGGCCCTCTTGGGCTGTCCTGGGGCCCTCTTGGAAGCTTCTTGGGCCGTCTTGGGGCGGTCTTGGGCGCCTCTTGGGCCGTCCTGTAACGTCGGAAAGCCCAAAAGACAACTTTGTTGAAAATGTACGTTTTACGAAGGGAATGGGCCAATTTTTGCGTCTAGGGGCCCTCTTGGGACGCATGTTGGAGGCTTCTTGGGGCCTCTTGGGGGCGTCCTTGGACGTCTGGGGTCTCCTGGGGCCTCTTGAGGGGCCTCCTGGGGGCCTCCTGGCGGCCTCTTGGGGCGGAAGGCTCGAGCTTGCGGTTCGTGGTCCCCCTCTGGGCCCCCTCTTGGGCCCGTCTTGGGGCCCTCTTGGGCCATCTTGGGCGCCTCTTGGGCCGTCTTGGGGCCCTCTTGGGCTGTCCTGGGGCCCTCTGGGAAACTTGGGCCGTCTTGGGGCGGTCTTGGGCGCCTCTTGGGCCGTCCTGTAACGTCGGAAAGCCCAAAAGGCGACTTTGTTAAAAATGTACGTTTTACGAAGGGAATGGGCCAATTCTTGCGTCTAGGGGCCCTCTTGGGACGCATGTTGGAGGCTTCTTGGAGCCTCTTGGGGGCGTCCTTGGACGTCTGGGGTCTCCTGGGGCCTCTTGAGGGGCCTCCTGGGGGCCTCCTGGCGGCCTCTTGGGGCGGAAGGCTCGAGCTTGCGGTTCGTGGTCCCCCTCTGGGCCCCCTCTTGGGCCCGTCTTGGGGCCCTCTTGGGCCATCTTGGGCGCCTCTTGGGCCGTCTTGGGGCCCTCTTGGGCTGTCCTGGGGCCCTCTTGGAAGCTTCTTGGGCCGTCTTGGGGCGGTCTTGGGCGCCTCTTGGGCCGTCCTGTAACGTCGGAAAGCCCAAAAGACAACTTTGTTGAAAATGTACGTTTTACGAAGGGAATGGGCAAATTTTTGCGTCTAGGGGCCCTCTTGGGACGCATGTTGGAGGCTTCTTGGGGCCTCTTGGGGGCCTCCTTGGACGTCTGGAGGCCATCTTCAGCATCTCGGAGCCCTCTTGGAGGCCTCTTGGAAATTTCTTGGGCCGTCTTGGGCGTTTCTGGGGCCGTCTTGTCTGACCGGGGAGGCCTCCGGCAAGCCCCGACGAGCCTCCGGGGCCCCCGGGGTGCACATTTGCGGTCGAGGTCCCGGCCCCGGGCCCCCGGACCCGGTGCGCCGTTATATGTATACGTACGTGCATGCATACGTTCATATATACAACTATACATATAGACAGCTATACAGAAATACATACAGACATGCATGCATGCATGTATACACATCTACAGATACACATGCATACATACATAACCTGTCATTCCATTACACACATTACATGACGTACACACACAAATCATACCAGAGAAAAAAACATAACCTCTTTAGGGTTATAGTGCTATGGGGCTATAGGGCCATAGGGCTCTGGGGCTATAAGGCTATGGGGCTATAGGGCTATAGGGCCATAGGGCTATAGGGCTATAGGGCTATAGGGCTATAGGGATATAACGCTATAGGGCTATGGGGCTATTGGGCTATGGGGCTACAGGGCTATTAGGGCTATAGGGCTATAGGGTTATAAGGCTATAGGGCTATCAGGCTATCAGGCTATCGGGCTATCAGACTATAGAGCTATAGGGCTACCGGGCACCCGGGCGTGCCGCCAAAATCGGCGCCATACCTCACCTAACCATATGAATCCGCGAGGACCCCTACACAGGCAAGCTCCGATTGGGGAATAGCACTAGATCACACTACATGATATTATAGTAGACTGCATCACATTAAATTACATTACATCACAACACATTACATTTATCTGACCTTACAGTACGCTGTATTACAACACGTTAGATTTCATGTCACTAGACTAGATACCTACATTTATGCATACACAACTACATACATACCATACATGCATGCATACATAAATGCATGCATTCATGCATGAATGAATGAATACGTACATGCATGTATACAGACATGCATGCATGCATGCATGCATGCATGCATACATACATGCATACATGCAGACATGCATACATCATGAATACAAAAGAAAAAAAAAAAAAAAAAAAAAAAAAAAAAAAAAACTATCCACAATCAACACAGGCACGACCACGAACAGGAAAGATGCAGGCCCACGCCTGCCGAATGCCTGAGGCCGGCGCGCGGCCGCTCCTCGGCCTCCGCCGCCGGGCTGGCGTCCCCGCCGCCGACGCCCCCGGGGTCGCTGGGCCTGCTGGCGCTGGCCTCGGGGGGGGGGGGCAGGAGGCGGGGGGCAACGACAGGGGGGGGGGGGCCGGCCCGGGGAGGGGGAAGCGTCGACCAGGAATCGGCGATGCGTCGCAGGTAGATCGGCGACAGGCCCCCGGCAGCGAAACCGCACGGTTCCTGGGCGGGTTGGGCTATCGGGCCCGTGTGATCAGTGGGCGATTGGGAGTCGATGCGCTCCCCCCTGAGCCTAATTATCCCCCCCTATCGTTGTCCCTGAAACTAGGACCAGGACGGCGTCCCGCCTACGAGGAGGGGCGGCCAAGAGGGGTGCGTTCAAGAGGGGGGGACGCAAATCATGGCCAGCGGCATGTGCGCGGCTCAGGGGGGATGGCAGGAGACGTATTGAAATAAGAAGAGGCGCCATGAAACCTGGGGAGACATCATGGCCTCCGCCATGATATCCACCCCCCCTAGTCATCACCCCCCTCTTGGCCGCCCCCGAGAGGTGGGGGAGGGAAGGAGAGAGAGAAGAGGATGCTTTGGGGGAGAGCGGGCGTGGGCTCTGGCAGAAGGGGGCGGCGGAGGAGGGGTCAGAGAGGCATGGGCAGGGGGGCCTGGGCCCTGGGGCGTTGTGCAGAGCCTCCAAGCCTCGAGCTGCGAGGGCCCGTGCACCATTCGGGGGGGCGAAAGGGTAGGATAGCAAAGGGCAGGGTAGAAAATCAGCTCACTTAGCCGGTTTTCCTGGCGCCTCCTGGCGCCTCCTGGCGCCCATGTATCGACGAACGGGCCCGGCGGCGTGGCCGAAACCAGCTGCACGCAGCAGCTTTCGTAACCCCCTCTTTCCCTGTCCCCCCCTTTCGTTCGGTCCGAACCATCCTGGAGCCCAGAGAGGCCCTGGCCGGGAGTGGCGGTGGGGAGCAGCTCCCGTGGGATTTAGGCCACAGCGAATCGAGCCCAGCAGGCTCAGCATTACTATCGCGATGTAGGAGATCGGGTGCAGCAGATCTGTCTGCCACCCTCTAGGTCCCCCCTCACGGCCCCCCAAAACGGCCAGAAGACTACGCCCCAGGGTGTGATTTTCGACTGCTGGCCCCCAGGATCCCTTTGATACGCGCTCCCACGGCCACAACCCCTCGTGAATTACAGAGGATCTGCACTCCCAGGGCCACACCCAGGGGCATGATCCTTCATTAATTAAACTGGGTATACGCTGCCAGAGCCAAGATCCCTCCTAAATCCCACCAGCCCTCTGGGCGTAGGTGGTTTAGGGAGTTTCCTCTTCCAACCTCCTTCTTCCCCTTCGGGGAGGGGTTTATCACTGTTCCTTATTAATATACACCCCCTCCCCCAGGCGACTGGGAGCCAACCAGGGTCAATGCGGCCCCCCCCACCATCCTTTTGTAAAAAACAATACAAAATACACTTTGCTTCCACATTCGGAGCATGCGCAGCGAACCCGATGCGGCCTCCCCCACCATCCCTGTCAAAAAACGATACAGCGTACACTTGGCGGCGGCGGCGGCTGCGGCGGCTCCGAAGGGGGCAGCGGCTGCGGCGGCTGCGGCGGTGGCGGCGGCGGTGGCGGCGGCGGCGGGGGCGGGGGCGGCCGCGGCGGCGGCGGCGGCGGCGTTGGCGGCGGCGGCGGCAGCGGTGGCGGCAGCGGCTGCGGGCAGCGGCTGCGGCGGCGGCGACTCGGCAACGGCGGCGGCCGGCGCGGCGGCGACGGCGGCGGACGGCGGCGGGCGATGCGGCGGCGGCGGCAGCGGACAGCGGCGGCGGCGGCGGCGGCGCGGCGGCGGCGGCGGCGGCGGGCGGGCGGCGGCGGCGGCGGCGGAGGCGGCGGCGACGGCGGCGGATTCGCCCCCAGTAGCTGCCCATCCAAAGACGACTGCTGAGTATGCTGCGGCTCGGGCCAGGCTCGGGTGCTACGAATGTGTTGGGAGGGCGGGTGGGGGTGAACGAGACGGCTTGCGGGCGGGGAGGGAGTCTTGACCCCTCCCCCTACCCCCTCCCCTGGACCTGGACGGGGGGGCTCGCGAGGTGTCAGGGCGTCCAAAACGACCTCGGCGAGGAAGCCCAAATCCGTTGTTTTACAAGGGTTTTGGCCCCATTTTGGCCTCCTGAGGGGGGGACCCTAATTAGGGAGCCCCCCTCCTGTGATCGATCTCACCCAAGATGGCCCAATGATGGCCCCCAAAGCTCCCAAGGGTGCCCCAAGAGGGCCCCAAGAGGCGGCCAGGAAGCCCCAAGAGGCCCCCAGGATGCCCAAGAAGCTCCCAAGAGACCTCCAAGAGGCCCCAAGAGACCCCCCAGAGGCACCCAAGATGCTCCAAGAGGCCTCGGCGAGAATGTCAAATCATTGATTATACTAAGGTTTTAGCCACATGTTGGCCCCTTGGGGGGGAGCACTGATTAAGATGACTCCAAGAGCGCCTGGGAGAGCCCAAGTTGACCTCCAAGATGGCTCAAGATATCCCGAGATGTCTCATAATGGCTCCGACGATGCTCCAAGATGCCCCAAGACCGCTCCAAGACGGCTCCAAGTGGCCAAAGAGCTCCCCCAGGAGGCCCCGAAGAGGCCAAAACCTTAGGAAAATCTATGTGTTTGGCTTTCTCGCCTTTCGCTTCTGATGGCCATCCGAGGCGTCAAAATGGCTCCAAGATGGCACAAGAGAGGCTCAAGGGAGGCCCAAGACGGCCCCAAGAGCGCCTAAGAGCGCTCCAAGAGCGCCCCAAGAGCGCCCCAAGAGGCGATGCTTTGGGTTCCCGAGGGGCAACGCTAACTAGTGCTCGCTGCTTGTGTAATCGATGTCCTCCAAGATGGCCCCAAGAGCGTTCCCAAGGCTCCCAAGAGCGCTTCAAGAGGGCCCCAAGAGGCGCCCAAGAGGCCCCAACAGGCGCCCAAGAGGCCTCCAAGATGCTCCCAAGAGACGCTCTCCGAGGCACCCAAGACGCTCCAAGAGGCCTCCACTGGGGGACCCTTCCCCTGCGTGCTGCCCACTACCCTGAACGAGGCAATTCCTCTGGGCCTCGTTTCTGGATGGGCTGGTGGGGTTACTTTTTTGGTCGCAGCCGCGCAGCAGAGGGCAGGCGGCGAAAAGAAGTCCGGGGCAACGCGCAAGCTTAATTAGCTACAAGGCGCAGCGCAAGCCGGCCGGGCCAGCCCTCAGAGGCAGCAGCTGCGGCAGCGGCGGCGGGGGGCTGACTGGCTGAACTGCAACGCCCAGGGAAGCTCGAGCATCATGCAACCCTGTGGCAAAGTGCCTGGGAATTCCAAACTGTACGCCGCGGCGCCAGTCCACCACGGTGTAGGTGCCATGCCGAGTCAGAGAGTGTCCTGCACGCACTATCCGCACAAACACTGTAGCAAGTAAAGGCCATGTACAAACTGGTCATGTCGCCAGAGGGCGCCAAGCGTCTAGAATTACATTCGATTCGCGCTCCCAGGGCCACGATCCCTCGTAAGTCATGCTGGATCCACTCTCAGGATCGCGATCCCTCGTACATTACTTCGGATGCGCGCTCCCAGTGCCAAGATTCGTGACAAATTACAATAGATCCACGCTTGCAGGGCTACGATCCCATGCACATTACACTGCATCCGCACTCTCAAGGCGTAGCGGAGTAATCGAAACCCCCGAAGCCACCTAGGGCACGTGTATTCCGCTTATCAGGTAGGATAGGCCAGACATAACCCACCTCTGCATCCACTTCTAACCTCCAAGCAGGGGTGCGCTCCCAGACGGCCAAAGAATCGAAAAATATCGAATCCGAGATTTTCTCCATTTTTGGCATCTGGGGGCCGGCTTCGGACCCTGCAGACTGTCCAAAAACGACTCGGGGCAAACAGCCTGTCCCGCAGGGTCCAAGGCCCCGAGGCTCGAAAACGTCGAGTCGTCGGAAGTCTGGACTCCGAGACACCTTCTCGCCATGAGAGCAATCACGGCGAACCAATTTTCATGATTGTCACCCTGTCGGGGGTCTCACTGGGCACCGGGACCGTCAAAAAAAACGCTCGGGATGACAAAAAGGCCCCGGCGAAGTGGTCGAGATCTCGGGGGGTCCACGCTGCGGAAAGATCACAACATCGAGAGTCTGGGCCCTGGCCAGGAGCCTCGAGACGGCTACCGTGCCGGGGCGACGAGAAGCCCTCCCAGGGGCTCAGAAAAAGAGCAAGAAAGCGCCAGCAAAAACTGCGCCTTCGAGCCCAGACGCCCCGCACCCGCCGTATATAAGCGGAAGGCGTCCGTGCGGCAGGTTCGTGTCGAACCGACTTCGGCGCTGGTTCCTGCCACCGCGGGGGTCGTTCAGCCTGGAAAGATCGGCCGTTTCCGAAACGCCAGACCGCTCAGCATCGACCGATTCTGGGCAGCCCGCGGCGTTGAAAGTTGAACCAGCGGGGTTGCCGCTGGTCGGCACGACGCGGACCCGTGCACACCACCGCTGCCACCCCTGGCCAGGGCCATCCTGGGCCCTAGCATCGCGTGTGTTCGCCCGCCTGCCCGAGGCCAGGCGGCCCGTGCTCGCCCTGGGGCCCAGCGCTGCCCTGGCCAGACGCGGCGGTGGTGGTGTGCGGCGGGCTCGTGCCGCGGTGGCTTCTGCGCTGGCCTCTGGCACCGCCTGGATCACTCCGCGCGGAACGACCGCGACGTTCCGATCGCAGCAGCACCCTTCGGCGGATGTGGGGTCCATACGGAGCACGTCCGTACGGAGAGGTCGGTCTCCGTCTGGGAGTGCTCCGTCTGGACTTGGCCTCTCCTGACAGGATGCTAAGTCCATGCGGAACAAGTTCATATGAAGTGCTCGGTCTCCGTCTGGGCTTATTCCGCATGGACTTAGCCTCTCCTGAACCCTTGGACGTCGGCCGATTTCAGACCAGCTGCGCTCGACCTTCAACCCATGCGCTGGGGTCGCCGCCGCGTCGACACGGCACCAGCCTGTCACACAGATGTTATTTTATGTGCTAGGCCGGCCGCTGACTCGCCTGCCCCACCAGCCTGAGCTGACCGAATCGCGAAGTCGGATCGGACCGAAAACGGATCGGGAATCGGATCGGGATCAGACCGTCAGCCCAATACGCCCGAAATAGATAAGTATGGAGGACATGGGCACGATGCCCAACAACAAATGCTGTCAAATACGGACAGCGGCCGCTGTTGGGCAGGCGGCCTGTCACAACGAGTCCTGGCTCAAAATGGACAGGAACTGTTGTTGGTGAGCAGCGTTTAACCGATCCCTCTCGGCTGGCGTGGCCTGAGCCCCACTGGCCGATTCACCCTTCTTGATGGGGATATAGGCTGTTCCCTTCGGGTTTCGAGGGGCACGTCCCCAACTGGAGTGATGGGACAGCGGGGATCGGCATGGGGATGGGGATGAGGACAGGGATCGGTTGAACGATAATGAGCTGGTTTTCGTCCTCAGTCTTTCCGTCGGCGGCCCGCACGCCCCGCCAGACCCGGCCTCCCGCCTGCGCGCTCGTCGTCGTCTGCCTGCTTCTCTCCGCCCCCCCTCTCTCTCTCCCTCTCTGTCTTTCCCGCCGCGCAACAGGAGACCGCCCCGAGCTGGTCCGTTCTCCCGAGTCCGCTCGACGTGGCCCCCTGTTTTGGCTCGAGTCTCAAACGAAAAGAGAAAGAGGCTACGCGGTTCGCCCCCGAGGGGGTCGTCGGAACAGATCGCCTGCGGTGCGGCATCGAACGAGCACCATCGACGAGCGTATCGATCGTCCCGATGAGCGGCCCTGCCCGCCTCCCGGAGAGGCCGCGAGACCACGTTGGGCAGCACGCGCAGCAGCAGGCCACCCTCCTGGGGCGGCGCGCGGGGCGCGCCGCGCGGTGCGCGCGGAGAGCACGTCGCCACCGCGGCCGCCAGCGCCGACGCGCCGCTGCTGCCCGGCGCCGTGAGGAGCTACCATCAAGCTCAGAGCCATGGGAGGAACTGATGAAAGCGCTTGCTGCCCAGAGGCTTCGATACTAGTGTATGAGACCCCAGAGAAGGCCTCACGCTGCGTAGTGAAAGTAAGAGCTGCACCGACCCTACGGTGCATACCACTGCGGCTAAGTTCTCTCGCTGCTGGAAGAAAGGCCTGCATGGAACGCCGCATCCTGGCGCGTCCTGGTGCGCCCCAGACCTAATGTCTATACTTCACATTGAACTCAGAGCCATGGGAAGAACTCCCTGTTTCAATCACCCAATCACCCTGCAATCAGCAGGGAACGTGAGAACTTGACTCATCCTCGTAGGGCCCAGGGCGCAAATGTTTGATGAGTTGATCAAGTAAGCGGCATGTGAGAAAGCAAGCTGAGAGCCGTGCTGGAACCAGCAGCGAGCACGGCTTCCTCATATTGCAGACCGTGCGGCATCTGGCTGGTGCAGTCCCGAGTCCAATCGAGATTGAGTGCGGACAAGACGCCATCACTGTCAGATCCATCGGTCATGGGCGCACGATTCCCAAAACGTGCACCGCCGACGCGTTGTCATCACACTCAGAATCATGGGAGAGCTCCCAGCTTCATTCACCCTGCAATCAGCAAGGAAATTAGAGATTCTGACTCATCCTCGTGGCCCAATCAACCACGACGCTTCGACACCGCACCCTGACAATCGGAGCCATGGGGGCAATCGCGCGGGACCCAGACACGGCTGCACCAGCCCTGCTTCTGCAAACCACCATCAATTGTCATGCAAGCGCTTGCTGCCCAGAGGTTTCTTCGATACTAGTGTATGAGACCCCAGAGAAGGCCTCACGCTGCGTAGTAGAAGTGAGAGCTGCACTGATCCTGCGGTGCATACCACTGCGGCTAAGCTTTCTCGCTGCTAGAAGAAAGGCCTGCAAGGAAGGCAGCATCCTGGCGCGTCCTGGTGCGCCCCAGACATAGCATTTCTATACTTAACATTGAACTCAGAGCCATGGGAAGAACTGTCCACCATCCTGCAATCAGCAGGGAACGTGAGAACTTGACTCATCCTCGTGGGGCACAGGGCGCAAATGGTTGATGAATTGCTGGAGCAAGAAACATGTGAGAAGGCACGCTGACAGCCGCGCTGAAAGCAGCAGAGAGCGCGGCAGCGTCAGGATTCCTGCTGCCGCATACCATACGAAACGACACCGCCGTAGCCAGAGCCAGGGAAAAGTCCGAACCCGCGGGGAGGTCATTAACAGCACCTCGCTTACGTGACGGTCCGACGCGTTGCCATCACACTCAGAATCATGGGAGGAGCTCCCAGCTTCAATCACCCTGCAATCAGCAAGGAAATTAGAGATTCTGACTCATCCTCGTGAGCCCAATCAACCATGACGCTTCGACACCGCACCCTGACAATCGGAGCCATGGGGGCAATCGCGCGGGATCCAGACACGGCTGCACCAGCCCTACATCTGCAAACCACCATCAATTGTCATGCAAGCGCTTGCAGCCCAGAGGCATCGATACTAGTGTATGAGACCCCAGGGAAGACCTCACGCTGCGTAGTGAAATTGAGAACTGCACTGTTCCTGCGGTGCATACCACTGCGGCTAAGCGTTCCCGCTGCCAGAAGAAAGGCCTGCATGGAACGCCGCATCCTGGCGCGTCCTGGTGCGCCCCAGACAAAATATTTCTATACTTAACATTGAAACTCAGAGCCATGGGAAGAACTCCCTGTTTCAATCACCCTGCAATCAGCAGGGAACGTGAGAACTTGACTCATCCTCGTGGGGCACAGGGCGCAAATGGTTGATGAATTGCTGGAGCAAGAAACATGTGAGAAAGCACGCTGACAGCCGCGCTGGAAGCAGCAGAGAGCGCAGCAGCGTCAGGATTCCTGCTGCCGCATACCATACGAAACGACACCGCCGTAGCCAGAGCCAGGGAAAAGTCCGAACCCGCGGGGAGGTCATTAACAGCACCTCGCTTACGTGACGGTCCGACGCGTTGCCATCACACTCAGAATCATGGGAGGAGCTCCCAGCTTCAATCACCCTGCAATCAGCAAGGAAATTAGAGATTCTGACTCATCCTCGTGAGCCCAATCAACCATGACGCTTCGACACCGCACCCTGACAATCGGAGCCATGGGGGCAATCGCGCGGGATGCAGACACGGCTGCACCAGCCCTGCTTCTGCAAACCACCATCAATTGTGATGCAAGCGCTTGCTGTCCAGAGGCTTCGATACTAGTGTATGAGACCCCAGAGAAGGCCTCACGCTGCGTAGTGAAATTGAGAACTGCACTGGTACTGCGGTGCATACCACTGCGGCTAAGCGTTCCCGCTGCTAGAAGAAAGGCCTGCATGGAACGCCGCATCCTGGCGCGTCCTGGTGTGCCCCAGACAAAATATTTCTATACTCAACATGAAACTCAGAGCCATGGGAAGAACTCCCTGTTTCAATCACCCTGCAATCAGCAGGGAACGTGAGAACTTGACTCATCCTCGTGGGGCACAGGGCGCAAATGTTTGATGAATTGCTGGAGCAAGAAACATGTGAGAAGGCACGCTGACAGCCGCGCTGGAAGCAGCAGAGAGCGCAGCAGCGTCAGGATTCCTGCTGCTGCATACCATACGAAACGACACCGCCGTAGCCAGAGCCAGTGAAAAGTCCGAACCCGCGGGGAGGTCATCAACAGCACCTCGCTTACGTGACGGTCAGATGCATTGGCCATGCAATCTAGGACGCACAACTCTCAGAAATATGCACCACTGGCCCGTTGTCATCACACTCAGAATCATGGGAGGAACTCCCAGTTTCAATCACCTTGCCATCAGCGAGGAAATTAGAGATTATGGCTCGTCCTCGTGTGCCCAACCAAGCACGACGCTCTAACACTGCACCCTCAGGGCAATCGCGGAGGACCGAGAGACAGCTGCACGAGCCTTGATTATGCAAAACCACGTTTGGTCGCCATGACATCACACGGGGTTTCAGCCACGAAGCACGCGAGGCGGTGGAGCCGCGGATCCGCCGATGAAGCCAGAAAGAGGCCATGAAGAAGCCACGAAACACGATAGGCCATGGGTCACATGCACGGTTTCCCCCGGGGCCGTAGGCGACCCAAGGAGGAGGAGGAGGAGGAGGAGGAGGAGGAGGAGGAGGAGGAGGAGGAGGAGGAGGAGGAGGGGGAGGGGGAGGGGGAGGGGGAGGAGGGGGAGGGGGAGGAGGAGATGGAGGAGATGGAGGAGGAGATGGAGGAGGAGGAGGAGGAGGAGGAGGAGGAGGAGGAGGAGGAGGAGGAGGAGGAGGAGGAGGGAGGAGGAGGAGGAGGAGGAGGAGGACGGGTCGCCTAAGCCCTCCGGAGAAACCCTCCATGGGCCACAGAGTCACAGAGTGCAATCCTGTACTCCAGCCCACCTTAACACACAGGGTCCGCCACCGTGCCCCCTGGCAAGTTGAGGCGCGTGAAAGAATGCCAACCGCTGTCTGATAGGGTTTCTGTAGCCTTCTAAGGGAACTCCTTCTCTCTCGGTACCCAATCGCAAGCATCTTGCTCTTCCTCCGGGAGGATCGCGTCTGGCGAACCAGTGGAATGCGCCCCAATGCCTCCCTGGCGCTCTCCGAGGCGCTCCGAGGCGTCCAAGACGGCCGGGGAAGGCCACCGAGGCCGACTAGAGGGCCCAACACTGCCTCGAGGCAACTTCGACACTACTGTTGTATGGAACCCCAGCAACATCATCTGGACTACGCAGTGCCGAGTCCAATCGAGATTGTATCGACAAGACGCCATGACTGTCAGATCCATCGACAATGCAATCTAGGGCGCAAAAGTCCTAAAACATGCACCGCCGACGCGTTGCCATCACACTCAGAATCATGGGAGGAGCTCCCAGCTTCAATCACCCTGCAATCAGCAAGGAAATTAGAGATTCTGACTCATCCTCGTGAGCCCAATCAACCACGACGCTTCGACACCGCACCCTGACAATCGGAGCCATGGGGGCAATCGCGCGGGATCCAGACACGGCTGCACCAGCCCTGCTTCTGCAAACCACCATCAATTGTGATGCAAGCGCTTGCTGCCCAGAGGCTTCGATACTAGTGTATGAGACCCCAGAGAAGGCCTCACGCTGCGTAGTGAAATTGAGAACTGCACTGGTACTGCGGTGCATACAACTGCGGCTAAGCTTTCCCGCTGCCAGAAGAAAGGCCTGCATGGAACGCCGCATCCTGGCGCGTCCTGGTGCGCCCCAGACATAGTATTTCTATACTCAACATGAAACTCAGAGCCATGGGAAGAACTCCCTGTTTCAATCACCCTGCAATCAGCAGGGAACGTGAGAACTTGACTCATCCTCGTGGGGCACAGGGCGCGCAAATGTTTGATGAATTGCTGGAGCAAGAAACATGTGAGAAGGCACGCGCTGAAAGCAGCAGAGAGCGCGGCAGCGTCAGGATTCCTGCTGCTGCATACCATACGAAACGACACCGCCGTAGCCAGAGCCAGTGAAAAGTCCGAACCCGCGGGGAGGTCATCAACAGCACCTCGCTTACGTGACGGTCAGATGCATCGGCCATGCAATCTAGGGCGCATAACTCTCAGAAATATGCACCACTGGCCCGTTGTCATCACACTCAGAATCATGGGAGGAACTCCCAGTTTCAAACACCGTGCCATCAGCGAGGAAATTAGAGATTATGGCTCGTCCTCGTGTGCCCAACCAAGCACGACGCTCTAACACTGCACCCTCAGGGCAATCGCGGAGGACCGAGAGGCAGCTGCACGAGCCTTGATTATGCAAAACCACGTTTGATCGCCATGACATCACACGGGGTTTCAGCCACGAAGCACGCGAGGCGGTGGAGCCGCGGATCCGCCGATGAAGCCAGAAA